CATCTTTCCTATCGCAGCCATTTTAAAACATAAACAAGTAGCCTGTGTGAGAAGAAAAATGCTGTTTACTATATTCAAATATCTCTTTTCGTTCCAGATATATTCAAGTTTTTAAATTATGTAAATTAGCCAAGTGATGACGTCATACACTCAACCAAATTTTGATCAAATATGATGAAAAAAGATATCTCAACCAATTTGTATCAGAAAGGTTTGATTCTTTGCCCTAAGATTCTACTAAATGTGCTCCACAATATGAGCTTAACAGTTTGGTTACCATGGCAACATACTGGGTTCCAGGCCTCCCATATATGAAAGGCATTTCTGGCCACCTTTGGCGTTCCATTTTGATATTTGCAAATGGTATGCTTGATCCAGCAAGCATATAAATATGTTAGCTCAAGTTTGTGACCTCTTTTAATGTTTTGCGAGCTGAAAATCACTAACATATTAAAATCAAGTGGGTGGGGCCTGGAAAAGAGTGAGTTGCCATGGGAACAGAATTTTTATAGCCGTAGGTGTGTTTCCTGTAGAACTATTAGCTTACCAAGTTTCAATGGTCTTCACTGCAAATTGACCAAGAGAGCTCTATTTATATACTTGATATAAAATTGGGTTGTGTATGACGTCATCAGTCATCTCATTTGCATATTTTACACAGTTTTCAAACTTAAATATCTCCGGAACTAATGCAGATATTTGCAAACGGTAAATGGGGTTTTGATTCTTTCATGGAATTCTATGTGATACACCTAAAAAGTCAAGGGGGAAAAATTTGATCATAGTAGCACTTTAAGGTTATAAAAATGTCAATAACTTACGTTCGAAGGTTTTTGTTAAAACTTCTAGGTCCTTTTCTCTTAACCAACGACCAACACCATACTCACTTCTCACCTCGATTCTTTCGCACGTGGAAGACCAAAATGAACTTTTGGGGTTGGAGGTGGGGCACGAGCTAGTTTCCAATAGGTTAAATCTAAAAAAATACATCTATGTTTTTAATGTAGGGTTAATCTTTTTCATGTTTAATAAAGCAGGCTTTCGTTTTCAAAAAGTATCGATTTACAATTCTTTGTATTTGACTAAAATGTCAAATACCCCTACAACCTGTCAAATGTTGGTCAAGCGCCGGGGGGGGGGNGCGGGGGCGGATGAGCGGGATTGGAATTAACAGAGCCACTGCATACGGCTGGTGTCCGGCTGGCGAGTCTGAAATTTGAATTGACCACTTAGGATTAAACAGGCGGTAAAAATTGTACGTCCAGAACACCTACTTTACCTACGTTATGCTACTAAGCAACTATCTAGCCAATCACTGGCTCTGTCAAGTGGCAAGTGTTCTTCGCGTCTTCAATTATTCTCGTACGGACACTTTTGTAGCATCTCCGTAGTCACCTTGCAGCCAATCCACTCAGGTAATGGTGTGAAGGGCACCTTCAATCAAGTTGCTTGAACAGCCGATTAAGATAGATAATGGTCACTATTAACAGTTGTATAATCCGCCAGACTCTGACGCCTGTTAGCACTGGAAACAAATCCACACTAGAAGCTCTGTTGTCAAGATCGTGAACATTGGATGTTGTAGTGGAGTCCATAGTGCGAACTACCACTTGTGTGTACACAAAAATTATTATCAAGCGAATGTAAAGAGGACGTAAAATCTCTCTGTTTGGTTTTGGTTCCGACATACACAATGAGCAGTGTTCTTCTTCCTTAAACAGTTAGATATAAAAAGTAATTAGCGCGAATTCACATCAAAAGAAAAAGTGTCACAATATAAGAAGCTCGGAGGAAAAAACTGGAAAGAACCGACTTGCCAACTTTTTAAATGAGTTCGACAAGACTGTTTGTTAAAAAAGGACAACGCAGACGATATTTTCCACTTCCGAACCATTCTCTAGCTCTAACCCGTCGTTCTTGTCCTAGCTGCTGACGTTGACTCAAGCAGGCACGTTACATAATAATCGAAAGACACTGCATTTCGCTGGCCGTGTTTTCGCTGGAAATTAGTATATCAGGACTTATCTTGGCTATTTGAGAGATACAGGAGTTGAGTTTCAGAGAAATTTAAAATTTATTTGAAGATTAGCAGAATTGGAAAACAGAAGTAAGTTATTGTCACTGGGGCGGTCACACAGACAGGAAACATCGTAAACAACTCTACCTACCTCGCGTGAGTATAACATTTGCGTTAAAAACACAAATCCAACAACACTTGCAACCCTCACTGACGTAAACAGAAGACATGTAGGCGACACAAAGATAGAAATAATTCTCTGGACACGGGACAGGTGCTCTGCGACACAAATTAAAGCACTACTTTATCAGGTTCAGAGGGTAACAAGGCTAGTTACCTTGGGTTTAAGGTGGCTCAAAACAGTTTCCAGCACTTAAATCTGGATGGGTCGTTATAACCACTCTTTATCACTTGATGCTACAATCATGGTATCAAAAAACTGCCCAAGCATTGGTGAACACGTTGTCATCATTTTCATGACACAACAAATTACCATAGCAACAGTATGACCTCCTAAAATCACCCTTAAATACAGCTTTACGGGTTCATAATTCAAAAATGGCACAGTGAAATTTTTTATATTATCAACTTTTCATAAGCATGAAAAGACGCAACTTTTGACAAAGTTAAAAAAAAATTCTGTACATGGGGTTCAGAGCCACCTTAAATTTTCGAAAATTTGAGGTGGCTCTGAACCCCATGTACAGAATTTTTTTTAACTTTGCCAAAAGTTGTGTCTTATCATACCTATCAAAAGATGATAATATAAAAAAATTTCACCGTGCTGTTTTCGAATTATAAGCCCCTAAAGCTGTAATTAAGGGTGTTTTTAGGTCATACTGTTGCTATGGTAACCTATTGTGTCACGAAAATGATAACAACATGTTCACCAATGATTGGGCAGTTTTTTGATACCATGATCGTAGCATTAAGTGATAAAGAGTGGTTATAACGACCCATCCAAATCGAAGTGTTGGAAACTGTTTTGAGCCACCTTAAAGTCTTCTATTAGCTAAATTGAGCTGCAATCCAGAACTCAATTAGGTGCGAAACCTCCACAGTTCACTCCTTCGATGATCAGGTAAAGCATGAAAAGGGTTAAGGCTGAAAGTTTTATTTGGGGGCTAACCGGCTAGGGGCTAATCAACATGGGGACTAAACAACTTACATTCTTTTGTGTGCACAGCAAAGTAAAACGTATTTATCATTCCCCAATATTGGTTGCTATTTCTTTTAGATGGTCGGTACTTTCAGGAAGTTGCTAATTCTGATCATCTTTAAAAGAGGGTTAAATTTTGATCAATTTTATCTCTACCAGCTCCCAGGGACATGTTGCTTTAGTTAAACACAAGCTGTTTCGAACGTCTACGGTTTCTGTAATCGTTTTCATTTTAGAGGTTCACGTGATTAGCCTGATGCATGTTCAGTCCTTAGATACCCCTACCCCACAGAGCCCCCTCAGCCAAACCAGGCGAGCTTAGACCTGCCAACAAGGAAACCGTGTACAAAAGCAAAATAGAACTTACATAGGACTACCATCAAAATCATAATTCTTAGATTTAAATTCATCAAGAGAAGGTGACTGACGAATATCCAAGGGTAAACTATTCCAGAGTACAGCTCCGCTGTAGGACAGACTTCTTTTACAATAATTAGTGTGGGGCTGTGGAATGGCAAGTGAACAGTCACTATCTCTTAAGTTATAGGTTAAGGTATGGGAACGGAAGACAAAGTGCGAACTAAGATTGTCCGGAACCATATTATTTACAATCTTATATACATCATTATTGATTTATCAACAAGGCGTTGACGGTCCAGTTTAACCCAGTTTACCATTCGCAACAATGCATCAGTTACAGCATACATACCCATGCTCACGGTTGCCATTGACAAGAACACATTGAGGAATGAACGGTTGTCATTGAACGATCTGTTATAGAGAAATTATGCAAAATAATTAATTCCGGGAACTTGTTTAACAGGGTGCTGTGTTAACTTGCCATTTCTTCATTACGGCTCTTAAAAGAGAAGACAGCAGGAAAGGTGAGGGAAGAAACAATGAGACTGTTTGAAGCTTCATGTTTAGTCTATCACTCTCCAGGGTTTATATTCTTATCTTGAGTTTCTACAGCTCTTCTTTTCTCTTAAATGACAATTACTTGATATCAGCTAACGTGGCTAATTAAATGCCTTATGAAATAAAATTGATACTGGAAATAGACCAAATCGTAGTTGGAAGCAGATTCTAAAGTTTGGGGGCTGCACAGCTAAACAATCTATCCCCAAGGATCTTCTTGGTTCTAATGCTTTTGGAGATAACTACCACCTCTATAGATTATAATCAATCAAGTATTTTCCCTTGCGTCCGATTGGTTTAAATGCCTCACATGACTAAAAATGCCCCCGCTAAAACTGGGGAATGTCCAAGTGATATTCCCCAATTTTCAAAACTGTGCGTATTGTGAAAAATATTTGAGGGACAATAAATGCAATTTAGCCTCTATTTGCTACAAAAATATGCTCGCATATTTTTCGTTGGACATTGTATTTCTGGTCCTCAAAGCTCACAATTTTCCTTGAGCTGCACTACATTTCTCTCCTCCACAGAGGCCTCTTTCATGCTGCTTTGACCACAGGCTGGTGGTCCCAATATTCAATTTTCCATAGGGAGCCTCTGCAGGAGAAATTAAGGCACTACACCTCTAGCAGCACATGATTTACTTTACAGCAAATTGAGCCTTAACTCTGGCTGTTCTCCAGAAACAAACCTTTCAAGGTTTACTTATCATTCAATGTACACATGCATGGCTTTTTTATGCTTTCTTACATTTTGACATGAAGTGGAGCAAAGAGAGTATCATTGCACTTGCAGATCACTAATGAAGAGTATCAGGGTTTTTGAATAAACCAAGTGCCAGAAATCAGAAGCTTACTGTAGCCATTGTGATGGAGCATCGAGGGAGTTTTCTTCCATTAGTCGTTCTTGTTTCATGGCCCAGACAATAAACATCATCACAAAGCTAACAACAGCTGCATCAGATATGATTCCTGCTGAGAACAAGAAGTGGTGTGAATTAAAGAATTAATTCAATTAAGGCTCAATTGACATCGGTGCTGTAAAAATATGTCGTAACTTTTGCAAGGCTGACTTGATTCGCATCAGGTAAGCCTCTTCATTCATAAACTTCTAGATTGATTGCAGGGTGAAATGAAATTTCTCTTTTTAGCAAGCAGCAGTGAAATACTGCGTGTTAGAGATTCCCCCTTCCTTGGCCATGACTGCTTCTTGACAAGGTTTTCTTTACACATGTTGGGATGTTATGCTGGCAAAAATGGCTTGACAACAGGTTTTGACATGATAGTGGTATATGCAAGTCAAAAGAATTTAATGAGTCCTACTTATCAAACCAGTACGATCTGTAATGCCTAAGACAGATCCAGTAATAAAGGAATCGCTTATAATTGAACACAACTGTTTATGGTTACCTTCTTCCTTATAAATGCAAACAAAGAACACCAAAACAGAAAGCGTAACAGCAAATCCTGTAACCCTGTAATTAAGTGTTATAAATTACTTATTAATAACCATGATGTGTTCATAGCATGGCCACTTTGACAACTATGGAGGGGGACATGGGGATTTGCAGTGTCGTGGTGTTGATGTTTTTTTGATGCGGTGAATAAAATCACAACTTGCGGTGTTGCGGTGATCTCAAACCTTACGCTGTGCGATGTTTGTGTTTTTCACGCTGCGGTGTTCGGTGAAATGAAATTGTTTGCGGTGCTGGGTTTTTTGATTTACCTTTCTCGAACCCAAATTTTACCTAAATTTAGCTCCAATATGCTTCAGCTGCCAATCCGAAGCTGTTTTCACTTATACGCAACTTGACAAGTAACTCGACCTCTGCCACCCGGAGCTCAGTGTTCAGTAGACACGTGGAGGAGCGAGGACAGAAACAATCTGTTTATTTTGTGGAAAAATGTCGAGGTATAAAAAGTATTATTTTAAGTGTAGATGAACGAATCGTGGTGCTAAAAATACATGTTGCGGTGACCGTGTTTCGTTGACTTTTCTTGCGGTGATGCGGTGTTCGTTAATTTTTTTTGTGGTGTTGCGGTGTTTAGAACCCCCCGATGTTCCCCTCACTAAGTAACTGATATCTCTTGACAATTTTCTGGTTGTTTCCATTTAATTAGACCAATCTACATGTAAAATCTAAAAAATTCACAAGAAGTAAAACTTAATCAGCAATTACGAGGCTAAATAGGCTACACTCATGAGATAGTCACCAATTCCAACAAGCCTCATTAAGAAGTTGTCTAAGCTGCAATGCATGCAGATAGTGACCAACCAGTCAGTGAGTCAGTCAGTTAATTTGACAGTCACACTGTCTGTCTGTCAGTCAATCAATTATTCATGAGCCACTCAATCAATCAGCCAGTCTGTCTGTCTGTCTGTCTGTCTATCAGTCAGTCAGTCCGTCAGTAAGTCAGTCAGTAAGTCTCTCTAAAACCCAGATGCGAACATTATGTACAGTGACAGTTAGATTATATTGCTACTGTCAGTTGTAATGGTATTAATATGCCTCATACCCTTGTTCTCTACCCAATCTTTCATTGTCAACGAGCTTCAACAAATAAATTATTTCACCCAAAGCTGGTTCGTGAGGTTAGGTCAGCGGTCGTAATGGCGGCTGGACGCGTATTTTTCTTCTCCGTACTTTTGCTGAATTTGCTAAGCTTTTCGCCACCTTATGGACAACAATCTGATTGGAACAGCTTTTCCGGCGACCCAGCTTGCCAGTTCACACATTCTGTCTCTCCAAGAGTGAATCTCGCACTGAAACATCCACTTCTCTCCACGTCGAAACATAGCCGCCATCTTGTTTGTGCTCCACGTGGTAGAAGTTATCATAGCTTGACGACGTGCTACTACGCCAATTCCAACAGCAATTTCCAACAAAGTCGTCTCCTCACAAGCGGTGACGTTTCCATCAATCCTGGTCCGAGCTCTAATCCTCCAAAGTGCTCTGTCTGCTCGAAATCCACCGCTCGTAACCACCGAGCCTTGAGTTGCGACCGATGCGAAAAGTGGTGCCATATTAAATGCGGCAACGTCAAGCCAAGTGACTATAAAAACCTACAACGTCTGACGACCTTCGATTGGACTTTTCCTCACTGCCTCCAGGCCACGGAGGCTAGTTTCCTCCGAAACAAGTCGGAGACAACAAACATTTTTGTTGACAACCCCAATCCAAACGTAAATTGTCCAATTGATGAATTTACCGTCATCAACAACAATCTCTTTGAATATCCAGGTCTAAAATTTGGACACATCAACATGAATGGTCCGAAGGGAAAACTATCGGAGATACACATGTTACTGATTGAAACTAGCCTTGACATTCTCGCCATAACGGAGACCAAGCTGGCAAATGACACCTCCGACGAGGAAATTGGCATCGAGGGATATTTCACAATTCGCAACGATTGCAACAGGAATGGCGGCGGTGTGCTATTGTACTACAAGGACTCCTTAGCGGCATATGAGGAGCATAAGATGCAAGTCCCAACCACTATCGAAGGTGTATGGGTAAAATAATTTAAAAAGCCAATCTCAAACATGGCTTTTTGCTTGTGTGTACAGACCGCCAACCGATCTTTCCTTCTATGACGGATTTAATGTTATGCTTGAGAAGGTCTGGTCCACACGAAAAAATGTTGTAATTATGGGTGACTTAAACTCCGACTTGTCCCTTAAAAGTTGCGAAGACGCAGAATCCCATCTTGGAAGACGCCTACTGCGTATATTAAGATCATATGGAATGAAATGTGTCATAAAAGAACCGACCAGAATTTCTGATGTAGCACAAACACTAATCGATTTGATAATTGTCAGCCATCCAGAGAAAATCACTACGGCTGGTCTGTCCCACTTGGGAATATCTGATCACAGTTTTGTGTATGCAAATTTGCGAATGAGAAAGGAAAAGAGCTCCCTGATGATTAAGCCCATAAATAATTACAGAACTTTCAACCAGCAGAAATTAAGAAACAACATCGAAAGCACCCCTTGGAGTGTATGTGAGATTTTTGACGATATTGATGACCAGGTCTGGGCATGGCAACACCTTTATCAGGAAATAGTATCTGACCATATCCCAACCAGGCAAGTGAGGACGAGGAAAAACAAACTCCCATGGATAACCAACGAAATAAAGAAAGAACAAAACAAACACTATCGTCTCCTAAAGCTCTACAAGGCTAACAAAGATACACACACTTGGAGCCTGTACAAAGCCACTTGGAATCGTGTCAAAAAATTAACATGTGACGCGGAACTCACTTATTGGAGAGAGCAATTTGCAAAATCTGAGAACAGCAAAAACTTTTGGCGAGTTGTAAGGAAGGCTCAAGGCAAAATCGCGAGAAAACCAATACCTCCTGTGCAAGATAGCGATGGTACTATCTTGACGAACGACTCCGACAAGGCTGAGCTAATGAATGATTACTTTGCAAATATTGGAATTAAGCTTGCTGAAAAGTTTCATCACCACTCTGGTTCCTCAATTAACCAGCCACCAGCAACTATTAACCCTGTGTCCCATTTTCTGGATCAGGTATCCCTTTTGGAAGAACAAATAAAGCTGAAATTAACTCACATCATGCAAAAAATAGGTGGTCCTGATAAAATAATGTCGCGTGAATTGGCCAAGGCTGTGGAGTCACTCTTTGAAGGTCTTTTTAGTATTTTTAAAAATAGTATACAACGTGGCATTTTCCCCAGTAATTGGAAGACTGGAGAGGTAGTTCCGGTATTTAAGAAGGGGATCAAATCAGACTGCGCCAATTACAGACCACTTACAATGCTCAATCTGAACAGCAAAATATTGGAGAGCGTTGTCTGTGATTCCTTAGATCATCATCTTGGAACAAATGAACTTATACATCCAAATCAATGGGGTTTCAAGAAAGGTGTCTCCACCGAATCACTACTTATGTACTTAACTGAAACATGGAAAAAGGCAATCGACGATGGCTACAAAGTTGGAGTTCTATTTATCGACTTTAAGAAGGCATTCGACACGGTTGGCCATGCCATCCTAAAAACTAAATTGTCAGATGTAGGTGTGTCCGGTATATTCCATGAGTGGATTGCACACTACCTTCATGAAAGATCACAATATGTCACGGTAAACAGCGCAAGATCAATGCTACGGCAAATTGACATCGGTGTTCCCCAAGGTTCCTTAATGGGACCCAGACTGTTTGCAATATATGTCAATGACTTACCAACTTCTTCCGAAACTGGATGTATTCATATGTTCGCAGATGACACTACTATCTATTATATTGGGGAAGAAGTCGAAGAAACTGTTGATGCGTTAAACCTAATCTTAAACGACTTCAAAGTGTGGTGCTGTAAGAATCATCTCACTGTTCACACTGGCAAGACCGTGGCAATGTTGATCTCCAGCCATGCTTTTGTTGGTCCAATGAGACCTCTAATGTTGGGAGATTCTTACATTTATTTCAACACTAAATCCACTTGCTTGCGTGTTGAAATTGACTATAAACTGAACTGGAAACCACAAGTAAAAGCACTGCACATAAAGTTTGGAGGAAAGCTAAAATTCCTGAAAAAGTTTAAAGGCCTACCCTCAAGTGTACTAGAAGAAATATATTTCAAAGGGATTGTCCCAAGCATCATTTATTGCATCGCTATTTGGGGATCAGCGAAACTCCTGACTCTGACGTACTTGACCTTGTTAAATGGAAACCTTTAGGCTATATTTCCAAGTGTCGGCTCGCTTCTATAATGTATCAGGTTTTCCACAATAGTTTACCTGATCAACTCACAGCCCTATTCGAAATACGCAACACCGACAATAATTATAACTTAAGGCGTATTAATGACTTCTCGAATGTACGGTACAATAGTAACCTTGGCAGAAATAGTGTAAGGTACAGAGGACCCATAGTTTGGAATTTAATACCTAAAGCCATCAAGGATGCTTCCTCCCTACAGCTTTTTAAACAAAAACTTAGACAGGCCTCAAGAATACTAGAACAAATTCAATTTGAAAAAGAAACCTGTCAGATAACATCAAAACAAACGGACGTTCTGTATTTTTAAATTTTTGTTAATTTTTGTAAATTAAGTACTAAGCTTTTGTTATAAATAGTTTTTTAATTAAGTTTCTGGCAGGTCCCCACCAGCCTTTACGTTGCCTCAAACCAACCTGCCTCAACAAAAAGTATATGTATGTGTGTATGTATGTATGTACTCACCAAGTTTCCATATGTGATGTATGAATATCCCTAAACAAATGGTAACTGAGGAATAATGACAAAAGGAATGAAGCTCCGGAGATTGCCAAAATGCAAGACTGGAAGAAAAAAAAAATTGAAAGAAAAAAAATAACGATTCTATGAAGTGTGGAAAAATAGTTTGCAATAAAGCACATTTCCACTTTCTCGCAGAGGTCATAGATTTTAACCCCATTAATTTATTCTGGCATCTACTTTGAATGAAAATAGAAATAATTAAATATTTAGTAAAAATTGGTAACTTAGAACACGTACATGTATCATTAACTACTTCAAACGTCAGTACTCTTTTCTTCTTCAGATGGTTTTCAAGGATAGTTTTCCAGGTGTTATGGCGAATTTTACATACCCTACATCATCATAATAGGCTATCAGAATAGGGTTTGTTGGATACAGATGGACTACATGCATATTGGATACAAACATCCTCACATCTTTGTTGACACAATAAGAACTAACTATAGAGTGGGGGGGGGGGGGGGGGGGGGGAGAGCTGGAAAGGGG